TCTTGACTGACCCAGCTTAAAGTCATCCGGGCGGGGCTACTGGGCTGCGCAGCCATTAAATCATAGACTGCGTCAGACTTCATGCGGTGGCGCGCCGCAAAAGTTGAATGTTTGATTGGCAGGCATGCCTCCAAACAATTGGTTTGTCTTCTTGCATTGCGGGAGTGAGCAGTTGAGGGCTTCAAAAGCCAGCATCAACGCAGAATACCCACCTCAGCCAACATGCTGCAAAGTTTTTCTGGCAGAGCCTGGCGCACAAGACAGTGGCTAGCAGGACTTGTGACAGCAGCTTCAGTCAATGCTGCCAAAGAAGTGCAAGCGCAGCTGGCCTTCATCTTATTGCAGTTGATGCCAAGATGGAGCGCTACAGCCAGTCAGTGTGCCCATCACCAAACCCTTGCCTCTCCCTTCTCACTGAACACCCAGGTGACAGATGGAGAACAAGGAGGACTCGCATAGTTCATAGTAGTGAATGCGGAAGCAAGTTGCTTTGCGTCACACGCAGGTACATCTGCAGCAGTGACCATTCCGACACCCACTCGCACCGGTCTTTGTTGACCTCCACTTTCTTGTGGCGCATTCTGGGGGGCCCCAACACACTCAGGGCTGCTGAGCGCATCAAACAAACGCAGGCCTATCCTTTAATGCAACATCTGGCTTTACCCCTGCGCAAGGGACAGTTAGTAGAACTCAGATTTCCTGCTGTGATTCCATTGAAGTCTACCCCAAAGCGCGTTCGCTGTTCACTGGTTCCGCCAGGCGCCAAAGGAAAGCAGCCAGCAGCTGAGCTCGCAGGACTGCTCTCTCGGACGGCGTGTTAAGAGTTTGCCCAAACCACATGTGCACATGTTCATTTTCCTCCTTCATGCTCCGTTTACAAGCAACTTACAGCTTGCGTTGGCTTTGCAGTGTTTGGAACTGACATAGGGTAATGTCAAGCAACAGCCTCAATCAAGGGACCATGTTGCGCTGGGAGTTGGGGCCCTAAGGTTCTCCTGGCAATTTACCTTGGGCCCTGCGCAGCCCATCATATCGAAAAATTGGGACGTTGGAAAACAAGGTAAACGCGGACGCGCCCCAGAAGGTAACCCTAAATAGGCCCCCCCAACATGTTTCAGCCCACAACCCTCAACCCTAAACAAGCCCCAGGGTTTCGACACCAAGCAGACCTGCGCACACATGCGCACACACACACACACATGCACACACACACACGCACATACATGCACACACACATACACACATACACACATACATACATACATACGTACATACATACACACATACACACATACACACATACATACAGGCAAACATTCTACACACAACACGCGCATACAAATGCATACATTACCTTGCGTTACATTACCTTACCTTACATTGCATCACATCACATTACATTACATTACATTACGTTACACCATTTCATGTCCACGATGCGCAAACAGAGCGGCCCTGCGCTTATTCAGCACTACTCGCTTTGCAGCGGGGTCCTACCCATTGAGCCAGGCCCAACCAAGTCCACTTACTTTCAGGATGAGGGGCATTAATGATGTATGTTACTGGATTCCTTGATTTGTGGCCCACCCTGCCCCCCCTCAAACATAACACACGGGCAACCCCGCAACACAAAAGCGCGCGTCACACAGTTGCACATGGCGCAGTTAAAGCCATCGTTTTTTTCGACCCTACCCCTGTCCTGCGGCCTGGATGACCTGCTCTTCTGCGTCTACCACACTGTCTAAGAAACAGCCAGGGAATAGAGACAGCCACGGGGCCCAAGAACCCAAGAAAAGTGGAGCGAGACAGCCATACAAAGAATCAATCAGCCAGGGAATGGGCCAACCCAAAAACCCGAAGAAGGCAGAAGACAAACATCCAGGGAGTGGGACTCAAGGACCCGTTATGATGTTGATGAGGACGACTCAGCCCAAACTTTTGTAGCAAACAAATCACTAATCAACTCTGCAGGTGTCTGGCATCGATATTCAGATTCGTGTTTATGCTTCACATACCCATCACCCCAATCCTCCTCTTTTACAAGGCAATTGTTGGGCAGTTTCAAGGTGTTTGCCCACTTCTCAAGCCTTCTTTGCATACTGGTCTGAGTCTGGGCCTCCGTGTCCCAATGATAGTCCACAACCTCTTTCAGTTCCTGTAAGTCATACTTTGTTTGTAGCAACCCACATCAACATAACAGAGTCTTCGTTCAGCCTGACTGATGGCTTTCGATCACCCACCACTTTGGTGTTGAAATGGTGAATGATTTCGAGGATTTTTCAAAACAATGCTATTAGCATAACGTGTCCTCTGGACACCTGTTGTCTTTGCTCTGGTGTATTTGGTGCATGGACGGGATGCCCAATTCACAGAAAGCTCAGCCACATCAAACTGTTTATAGTCCCAACTCTCAACGTCCTGATTGATTTTAGCATCTTTCAAACTGAGCGAAATCAGACTGAAATCCAGACTGAGCAACCCTACCAACACTACCTGTGCCCATTAAATTGTTCAAGCAACGTCATATGTTTAGAACTATTTATTTGATACCCATGTTTCGGAACCAAGGCTGTAAGGCAATGTGACTTGAAAGCGCCAACGTAAATCCTTTATTTCCATAGTTTGGGAAGCTTTGTTTGACTTGACGCATTTGAATGATTTGATGAGATTCCTCAGATGAAGCAATGTTGAACTCAGAATGGCCAACGCCCAAGTAGTGAATGACATCACTCTTTCTGGGAAGACGGGATTTAACGTTGCATCCGTTTGGTGTGTGTGTGTGTGTTTCTTCGCAAACCCCCCCATTTCCCATTTCCCACTCTTACGCACCTTGATGAGCAGCAGCTCCATTCAAACTAAAAAGGCTGGGGGCTCTAGGTTGTCTAAGGGCTATTCAGTAAGCTCTGCCTTGGCTGAAGTGCTGGAACCTTGTCCAAGGGTCGCAGTCAAATCAGGGGCAATGGGGGCATTAGACCATGTGGCCCACTTTCCCAGCCAGATGTGACTTTAGGAAGACCTTTTCATTTTTCTCTTGGCATGCGTGATGTTTCCGCTGGCTTGTGGGCGAAACCCAGCCCACCCCCAACATGAAGAATAAATGTCAGCAGGCCAAGGCCAGAGCAGAACCCTGGCCCTGGATTGACCTAATGTGTGCAGTGTGGCCAGCACTGACTGCAAGACTCATGGTTCCAAGATCATTTTTTGTCAGCGTCAACTTGGCCAAACTCCTTGCAACCCTTAGCCAGAAGCCCTGATGACCAAAGCGCCCTCTCAAACGAAGAGATCTTTCTGCGCAGGTCGCTCTGCGCATGCCTGCAAACTCTCTGCTGCCAAAAGTTCTGGCAAGTTGCTCTGCGCAAGAGGCCAGGGATAGGGCCCTTTGCAAGTTTCCCTCCGCCGATAGCTCAGCGCTCGTTGCTCTGCACAAGATGTTCTGCGCAGGTGTCTTTGCGCGAGCGCTTTGCGCAAGTTGCCCTGCACAGACTTGCGCGTCGCTCTCTTCGAGTGCTCCGCTAAGTTTCTGAACGCAAGTCAAATGTCGACTTTGCGTGGGAATGCGCTTCGCGGACTGCTTGTGCGGAAAAAGCTGCGCTTGTCTATAGCCAAGGCTGCGGGGACGCGCTTCGCGTACTACTTTGTACTTAAGAAAGGGTTGCGCTTTTCCCGCATTGTCGAACACAACCTCCCAGGACCAGCCCGCAAGCAGCAAAGGCAGCAAAGATCGACATGGCCACAGCGAGAGCGATTTGACAGGCGCGGCCCGGCAAGAGATTTGCTTAGGAGCTCGCGCAAAGCTCAGTTTCTGCAGGATGACCGTGCGGACCCCGCCGACACGTCGTTAATTACCGCGAGCTCGCCGAGGATTGATCCAACAGTCGTAAGTTTGGCATCAACCCAACCGATCCCCGCAGAGGGTCGCACAGAAGCCATAGAAATCCAAAGAAGCCCTCCGAAATTCCCAACCTACAGACTACAGAGGGTTGATCCGCTCGTGGCAAGACCGTAAAAACTTTTGTTTCTGACATGAGCCATGCTGATGCTGGCAGTGGTTGTTGGGCGCGGGCCGCAGAAACATAAAAGGCTCAGTTTTTTAACACTGGCCACGCCGATCCCCACGGACAACAACCCCACGGAAGCGCCTTGCGCCAAACACGTTTTTTTGACATCAAAATGCGTTTTTGATGGCAGGGCCTTTATGCGGTGGAGCTACACGTTAAAGGGACCTTTGTTAAAAACTGCGCTCTCGCTGTGGCGCCGCACCCATCTTCGATTTGCGTGTTGACGGCTGGATTCCATGGCTAGCGCAGCATTTTGTGACACGGGCGTTCTTTTTCGTGGCACGCGCTGTATGTTTTGTGCTGATGCTATGGGTTGCGTGGCAAGCGCAGCATTTGCAGCAACAAGGTCAGTGACTTTCGTGGCAGGTGCAGCGTTTCGCTCATTTGCAAGTGTTGCGCAACAAGGGTAGGATCGTGCGTGTCGAAGCACTCTCGCTGTGGCGCCGTGCAAAAGCGTGTTGAGCTCGGAGAACCCTCTTTGGAGATCCCGAGTGTCGAAGAGCTCTCGCTGTGGCGCCGTGCAAATGTGTTTTGAGCTCGGCGAACCCTTGCGGAGATCGCGTGTGTCGAAGCGCTGTCGCTGTGGCGCTGTGCGAAAGCGCCTCAGGCTCAGCAACTCTGGCTGTGCCGCCGTGCAAATGTGTCCTGATCTCCGTGAAGCACTTTCGCTGTGGCGCCGCGCGAATGTGTTTGGAGCTCGGCGAACCCTTGCGGAGATCCCGAGTGTCGAAGCGCTGTCGCTGTGGCGCCGTGCAAAAGCGCCTCAGGCTCAGCGACTCTGGGTGCGCCGCCGTGCAAATGTGTCCTGATCTCCGTGAAGCAGTGTCGAAGCGCTCCCGCTGTGGCGCCGTGCGAATGTGTCTTGAGCGCGGTTATAACCCTCTGCGGAGATCGCTCGCGCGTGTCGAAGCGGTCTCGCTGTGGCCTTGCTTGGAGCGTCCAATGGTGTCCGCGGAGCGGCGTTTCTACAAGCGACGCCGTCTGATGTCTCGCGTTGAAAATGATGCTGGCCGCGATTTGTTGGCTGGACTGCGCTTGGCGTTGTCAGGCGCCGCGTGGGCGACAAAAGTGTCCAACCCGCGTCGCCGGATTGTCTAAGTGAGCTCGGCGAACCCTCTGAGGAGATCGTGCGTGTCAATGCGCTCTCGCTGCCGCGCCTTGCGTTCCGGTCACAAAATGGATTTCTTTTTATGCTTGAGTTGCAACCTTGTTCCATGGCAGTTTGCAACAGACGTTCTTAAGTTAGCGCCGGACGTAGTTGCCTCTGCTCTATGAGTCTCATCTCTCCCCCACACGTATAACGAGCGCGCTTACCATTGTATATATAGCGCGCGCAGGGTAGCATCTGAGCGAAGCTATCGCCCAGCTTAACGTAAGCAAGTCACCGTGCGAGACAGCTTGTTTCGTACACGTGCGCTGTTGGAGGCAAAGCTCACCGAGCAGCAGCAACTACCTACATTGCTCTAGAGCTAGCTTGCGCTTCAACATAGCTACGTGCTTCTAGTCTAGCATCATCACCAGCCAGCCAGCCACAGCCAGGCCGGCGGAATCACCCTGAATCCTTGCTGACAACAGACCAGCAGGTGTCAACAATGTGTTTGATCAAGAATCTAGTTTCCGCGCCAGGAGGTCCCACGCTGCATGGGCGCCTGGAGGATGACTTGTTTTGGTTGCACTGACGCTCGGGCTGCAAACTGGACGCCGTTATAAACGGGCGCCCTTGAACCTGGGTTTGGGTGCCACGGGCTGAGGCCACACTGATGTTCCAGGTGCTACGGGGCTTGGCGCTCAGGAGGCTTCCGGAAAGCCCAGCGCCTCTTTTTATTGTTTGGTCTGAGTTGACCGCATCCTCAGCGTTGGGTAGCTTCGTGATGTAGGGAAGGAAAGTAGCTTCACAAGCAATACTCTACGATCAAGGAGAGGGGCGCGCGCAAGCGCGCGGACACGCAAATCGGTTCAGGCTCCGGCTGGGCCTTGCCTGCGGCGGGGACTTGGCCGCCGCCCGCGCCGGTGGGGGCGGCCTGCGTGTCTTCAGGGCGCGGGCTCGGGCAGGGTGCCTGACGGAATGATTGAAGTTACAAGGTGTCACATGTATGCGTGTGAGCGTGTAGAGAGAAAGGTCTTCAGGATTGTTGGTTGTTTGACTTTGTCAGGTCATTTTGATACACTTACCCGTTGGCTTCAAGCACGACTCAGACCGGTTTGACACAGTTCGATGTTTCAACCTCATCAAGTCTAGATGTTTTCGGCTGAGAACCCTGAACGGAATGAGACAATCGGAATGGACCCGTCGTTCATGTTCGCGCGAAAAGTTGGCTTGGGTACTCCAAGCTCCAGCACAAGTGGTTCCTCTTTGGGTTGCCAAAGCTTGGGGAGGACCTCCAGTCGTGAAGGGGACGCGGCATGAAGAAGGCCCAGCCAGAAGACTTTCTAAGGGTGCTAGGGCTAGGCCCCACACCATCTTCGCGTCGATGACCGATGATCAGTTCTCAAAAGTCGTGCCGCGCGACAGCGCGAGCTGTTCAACGCACGATCCCACTTGCCCACGGTCCGCAGAGGGCTCGCGTGTGATCCAGGAAGTTGGGCCGAGGGTGATGGGACGCGCTCAAAGTTCGCAGGGGGTTCGCGCTCAATGTTCGAAACTCAGACTGCGTCGCAAGTGCGATCCGACATGCCCAGAGCACACACATGGTTTACTTTCTTCAAAGTTGCTCTGCGCAGCGAAGGGGACCGAACGCAACCATCAAAGAAAACAGAAGCCGCTTTGACGTTTGAGTTGTTTTCGGGCTGGCGCTTTATCTTCTCAGTTGCAAGAAACATGTCCAAGCTAACTGTAAACGGCGAGGAGTCTAAGAATAATTGCAGTTGTCGAACGAACTGAGTACTAAGTATATCCAAGAAGAGGAAGAAGGTGTTGGTTTTGAGAATAGAGGGCGCGCTAATCATCAGGGATTCGCGTAGCACTGCCGCGAGAGTGCCCTTCCGACAGGCCAGCGCGGGACAATCACACACATTTTGCGACCCTGCAAAGTCGACACGCGCTTGTGCCATTTGGAGAGCGCCACGGCCTTTTTCGGGCCGCGAACCTAATACAGCCTTGAATCAATGGCGTTATAATTACAACCCAAATGCTGCGCCTGCAAATTGGGTAGGCTTCCAAGGTGCCAGCTTCAGGAACTACAGGTTGGACTGGTTTGTTCAGAACTTAGATTTTGCACAGCTGAGCCCTTGCGCAAGTGCTACAGTGGTGCTGCAGTAGTGCTGCAAGCACTACAAGGACGACAAGTACTGCAGGCCGTACTGTGAAGTGCTACAGGTACTCCTACTAACCAGTACCACACGCGTTGCAAATACTATGAGCAATCGGCAATCAGTACCACAAGTGCTACCAACCGGAGCGGGGGGAATCATTTTTTGCGAAGGCTTGTTTGGAGCGATTCTAATATGTGGACCTCGGGGTGTTTGGGTGTTTGCAGCCCATGAGTGAGAATTTTCATGGATTGTTGTAAGACTTTTTGAAACGCAGGGCTCGGCCTGCTGGGACCGCCGCCAGCTGCAGCTGGAGAAGCAGCGGGGCGTGTGGGTGCATGCGCGCGCAGGAGCGGAAGGGACTGCGGGGTTCCGTGGCATTTGGCAACCAGGCCATTTAGACGTTCCCTTTTGGGACCGGTTCCACACTCAATTGTATCTTGGAGATCTGGGTAGCGGAACGCGTTTTGTAGCGTATGATTCTGTGTGGTCCTGAACTGTTGAACTGAACCTTTTTGACTTTCAGCAGATGTGTCCCTTTGTGTGTTGGTTTTTTGCTGCTTCCGTGCGCACGCCAATCAGATTAGCCAGGCTTGTTGTCGGTGTCCATCACTACCATGGCATTAGTTTGGTCTTTAGGCTGGGCTGGCAGACCCAAACAGACGCCTCTGTTGATACACTTTGCTGTTGCTTCCCTTGATCGCCTTCCAAGCGGAGTTTTGCTTCATGGACACGGTTGCCGCCGCATCATGGTTGCACGCATGCCTTTTCCGTTCAAAAAGACCGGTTAAGGAGCTGTTACAGTATGAGCATAATTCCTGTCGCATCTTGTTTTTCTTGTCGAAACGAAGCGGGCCCCCACCTAAATCGTGTAAATCCCACTGGCAGCGCCAGCTTCGCGCTGGCTCGGCGCTAGGTCGGGGACGTTAGTTGACGGGGAACGTGAGACGCGCACGCGTGGCCCGTCTGTCCGGTCGCTCTCAGGGCTCGAGGCATTCCTTGCCCGCAAAGCAAAAGTGCTGCGTCTGCTGCGAAATCTGCGCGCGCCTTGCGAAAGTGCCGCGCTTGCTGCGCAAAGCATGGCGCCTATCACGAAATCTGTACCTGACCTTGCGACACGTGACCCTGCAAAATTGTGAAAACATAAGCAGTTTTTCGAGCTGCCGCGCTAGCAGGGAGTTGCCAACTTGAGTGGCCTTGTTGCCACTTGCGTGTTTCTAGGCTGTAGTCGTAAGTCAGGTTAAGTAAAACCATTTACCCGTAGTACGAACCAATTCCGTTTTCTTACTTGCGGAAGATGTGGCGTAGAACATTGGGATTTCTCGCGTGTGAAGATATCCTATAGAAGCAGCTCGACAAGCTCGGATAGCTCATCCGCCACCAGCTAAGAAAAGGCCCGCGCTAGTGCGCCTGTCTTTGTACGTTTCTCAGTGAAACCTACTGTGCCGCAATGGTTACGTGTTCATATGGCCCGAATGATACGGGCCCCCATAGAATATCGATTTAGGCTACAAAATACTGGGAACCAACATTTTGACAACCAGCCACACACATGCAAGAACATACGTGCGCGCAGATTCATACATAAGCACACACGTACATGTGTGCGCACACGTACCCCCCCCTATGTTTCCAAGTCGAGTTCTTGGAGAGGCTTCCACAAAGGCGGGCAGGAGGCGCTGCGGCAACTGGCCATGGGCGAGGCAAGACGGGTGGCGGAGCTTTGGAGGTTTTTGGTGCTACCCCTCCTTTTAGGCCAGAGGTGCAATGTCGGCCTTGATCTGCAGGCATTACTTGCGTTGTGAACCGTGAATCGTGACGATTGACAATTCCCCAGTTTCCCGCTGCCATTGTTTGGGCAAGCGCTTCCTGCGAACCAATGATCGTGCAGAACATTACGCGGGGCAGCCGTGTTGTTGTTGGCCGGCCATACCTTTTGGAAGGGGTACGTTGAGCGGTTTGTTCTACCAAGGCTGTGCTGTGGCTGTGGAGTTGCCGCGAATAGCTTGGTTCTTTGGTTCCCTCGTTTTAATCCTGTTTGAATCTTTGGCCGCGTTGCCGTTTATGCTTCAAGCCTTCGGTGACATGTTCTCAAGGGTTTGATCCCTTTTCAAAAGCACCGCCATGGAGCCTGCGTGCTCCTGGGGTTTCTGCTGCGCCCGCAGTTTGCATTTCGCTTTGGTTATTTCTTGATGTTCCTGCACTTTTGCCAACACTTGCTGATGTGTAGTGAGGCGCCCAATAGCCTGCTGCCGTGATTTTGCCCAGCCAGCCGCATGACGCTTGCTCTCCGCCAGCCATTGTGATACGGCTTAGCATCGTGCCACTGCTGCTTCCTTTCAATTGAGAATGCCGTGTGCAGCATGTAGCTGTGTGCAATATAGTCATAAACCTTACAATCCCTGTAGGAGGTCAGGCGCTGCATGTGTTTCCAGGCCACGGATGCCTGGCAGGGCGCGCTCCACACATGCCATGTTGTGCCCTGCGCTGCCCAGGTCTGTCATACTGATGAATCAGGCCCGGCGCGCAGAATCATGCATGTTCCTGCAGCAGCAATGCCACCCGCAGGGGTATTTGCTGCATGGTGTCATGCGCAGGCGATGCAAGTCGCATGCTCAGACGCATGCGCAGTTGATGCCCGGCAGGGCACCCGATCCCATGTTGCGCCATGCTTTGCCAAGGTCTGCCACAATGACGAATCAGGCCTAGCATGCATAGTCACGCATGCCCCTGCCGCAGCTATGCGGCATTTGTTGCATGGTGTTATTCGCACATTGCAAGTCGCATGCTCAGATTGGATTGCACGGCAGGGCGCTCGAGCCGCATGCTCATTACATCCCATGTTGTGCCATGCTTTTCCAAGGCCTGTCATAATCATGAATCAGGCCTAGCATGCATAGTCATGCATGCTCCTGCCGCAGCTATGCCACCTGCAGGGGCATTTGCTGCATGGTGTCACCCGCACGTGATGCAAGTCGCATGCTCAGGCGCGGAACCAATCAGGGACCTGCCCCTGATTACGAGCCGCAGCCTCGCTCTGGCCCAACATGACGCATTCATGTACCGCATCTCACGCCGCACGCAAACCCAAATCACAGCCACGCCGCCAGCTGGCCATCTGTGCAGGGCATGACGCACTCATGTCCTTTTGCTCCTTGCGATGCCCGCAGGCTCGTGGAGTGTCATAACTTCTAATCGAAGAAAGCCGTGAGCTTAGCGCGCAAAGAATTGCCTTCTAAGCTAGCTTGCCATACCGACGCCACGCATTGCATGCGTCCCAGTGGCTTGCGCTGTGCTGTAGAGCTCAAGTCAGCCCGTCCTCACACGCATTCCCCAGCACCTCAGCATGGACATCCTGGACGCATTGCATTTCATTGTGGCGCGTAGCTACATAGACTTGGAAGTGATTTTAGAGGATCTGCGTTTAGTAATGCTTACATCCGCTTCTGGTGTAAAACAAAACCACCGCATACTGCATGGTCATCATTGCGGCAGTGCAATGCATGCATATGCTACGCACCATGCCGCGCTTGAATCAATCAGCTTCACTAGCATATCGTGGCTCTAACAGCACGGCCGCACACGCGCGTAGCAGAGGTCCAAAAAATACGCGCCTTCTCTCATAGATTGACAGCAGCGCACACAACCTGCTTGTCACATTCAGCGCTTAGCCATTCACTAATCCTCTCAGGTTGCTAATCCTGCCAGGTTGCTGAACTCACCTGCCACGCTCATCGACATCAGCAAAGCTGCTACAGAACGCTATGACTAGCCTGTTTTTGGCAGCCTGGACCTGAGCATCGCAGTGCAATCTCCAGAAATTGTTTGAGCCGCATCATGATCAACCCTAGATCTGCTATTGTAATGGCTCAAAATCGGAAACTCTTAAATCCTTCAGCCCGCATAGCGTGGCTTTAGACATGGAAGCTTTCAACGACAGCACAGATTTCGAAGACCCTGCACCTTTGCAGTGGCCTCAGCATCACCGCATAGATGCATCGCCGTCTAACACATTGCAAGACGGCTTTGCGGCCTGGCCTGCACGCACGCATTGTCTGCATTTGTTCATTGACTATGTCCGCGTGGACCCGCGAATCAACGTGGACGACGTGCTGGAAAATCGAGCCAAGGCGCCGCATGGTGGGGAAGTACTTGGCCATCCTGCAGCCCTTCTCCGCACTGCTGGCCAACCCAAAGTTCCGGTCGGCCAACAGCCTGCGTCAGCTTGTCACTGCTACGTGAATGGGAAGCCTTCCTGGCCATGGAAGACAGCCCAAGAGAGGCTAAAAGACTCTAATTTTCGCCTTCGCGAAAGAGACTCTAATGTATGTCGGGCTGTTTTGAATGTTCTCATGATTGCTGGTTTCGTGACATTTGCGACCGCGCGCGGGCCGCATTTGCATCGCGATACCCCATAGAAAAGCAGTTCAGGGCAGCTTTGCCCTGGGCATGCGCCGGCTTCAACGTGTGATTACATGGCTCAAGACGCATTGGGTCAAAGGTCCGTTGCAACCCAAGACACATCCAGGTTAGTTGGCTGATTCGCTGCGCTTACCGAGTGTATGGCTGCGCAAACGGTCAATGTGAGTTCACCGTTAGCATGTGCGATCTGCCAAGAGGGATTCCGAGGGTTCCCCTATATGTGCCAAGGGTTTGGAAACACATAACTGACCGTGCTTGCTTGCGCAGTGAGGCGATCCACGGGGCCCGCAACGAGAAGGGGAAATTTTAAGTGTTCGAATTTTGTTTTGTTGCGTCGGGCTTGCCCAAGAAGACGTCAGTCCTTGTCACAGGGCCATTGCAGGAAAACACTTTCAGAACGGATCTACAAAGCCCCTAATATACGATGTATCTTTCTCTGCACTTGTGGGACGCAGAATGCTAGGGAACAGTATTGACAAGTCTGGACATTCAGTTGATCATGCTATTGGGCGGCGATTCGTCTCTCGACCTTGAAAAAGTGGTTTTCCAGGCATTTTATTTTCTCACGAGTTTTGCGCTTGCAGGATTCCACGTCGACTTGTGCGCATTTCACGGAATCCAGGTTTTTCGCAGCCATTGAGTGATTTCACGGCCAAAAGAAATCCTGACAGAACCCCACGCAGTCTGTCAGCCGGTGGTCAATTCAGACCTGCAAGCGCCTGCGCGGGACACGCGCGAGCGATTTTTACGGCTCGCGCGCCGCCGCCCCGCGTTCCGGAACGATTTTCTTGGCAAGATTACCTGCACTCAAAACCCGCAGAAGAAGCCAAACATAAAGAAATCCGGGGTGCTCCTGGAAATCAATTTCCACATCTTCGGGATGCCCGCAAGCACACCCTTAGTCAGCAGTGGCTTGCAGCGATCGTCCCAGGCACGCTTCGCAAATTGCTGGTGTCAAGTTCACGTGGCTCTTGTGCCTCAAGCTCTCAAGTTTCAGAGGCCATCTCTGGGATTGTGGTTGGCCGATTTTGGGCGTGAACTCATGAAATTTCAGAACTGGCGCCCCCCGATTTTGTTTTTAGGCTTGTTGTGCTTTTTTCTTTCTTTTTTTTTTTAGGGGGGGGGGGACGCGTGAACTTTCGTGAACTTGCGTGAAAAAGACTCTAAACTACGGTGTTTTGGCGTGAACTTGCGTGAACTTTCGTGAACCTTGGAATTCGCATGTTCGTTTGTTAAAAAAGACCTTTCGCGGCCAGCTGCGGGGGTTTCGCGGCCGATTTCCGGATATTCGCGGAATTGTGCGGCCATTTCTGCTCACGCTCATGGCTTCACCCATTTCGCGGCCATGTGTTAAAACGGCGCACGCCCCCGTAAAAGACGTTTGTTCGCATGTCCAAGTTAACGCTTTGAAGCCTTCCACTCTCTTACATTCGTTCGGCCCGAATTCGCGCAAATGCTTCAACGCGATTATGACCTGTCCACGCATCCGTGAGGGGTTTGGAGTTGAAACTTCGTGAGTTAAACCCGTCCAGCGTGCGAACCCTTGAAAACCTCAAATGGCCGTGAAACCCGTTTCTAGAGATGAATGATTGCCCAATCGTGAGCAAATGAATAATCACCGGGAATTGCGTAGCAATCCCTTGTTTTGAGCTGCGCCTTTTCGCAGAGTGAGAGTGGAAGGATTAGAAAAAGCGGCGCTATCCAAGAAACAATGCGAGAGTTGTGATGGTTAGCGCCAAGAATCAAGTAACCTAAGCCTTCGCGAGTACTTGATGATAGTGGGAAAAGAGGAAACGCATTGAGGACAATTGCTGAAAATACAAAAGCATCTGGTGCCGAAACGCTCCCAAAAGGCTGCGCCACTTGCGGGTTATAATCTAACGGCAAATAGGCGGGCGCGTTGCTTCAGAAATCTTTGGAATGTCCGCGCGCCATTCTTTCTTAGGATTGGGTCGGTTGATCCCAAGGCGGGCAGGTGTGCGAACTAACCTCCCCCCACCTCTCTCGCCCCCCCCTCCCTCCTGCCTGTTCTCGTTTTGTTGGCTGCCAAGGTCGCGCTTTAAAGGCATACTTGCGTCGCTCGCTTGCGCTCACAGCTTTGCACTCATGCAACTGAACTCGGCGCGCCCTATTCGACACTGCGTTCTCTACAAAGAAATAGATCCAGCTTGACAAGTGTTTGGCCTTGGAAATTGCATGACGTCATCTTGCGTCGGCGCAGCCGATTGCGGCCTAAACTGTCATTGCGCCGCGGCTCGGCTGAGATTTTTTGGAACCCAGC